AGCTATGTTGGAAGATATAAAGCAGGGAAGGGCGTTCCCTTGTGGCCTGCCACTCGTCTTCTCCATCCACCCCAAATCTCACGTGCAAAGCTTGGGTCACTTCTGCAGGCCGTCCCAAGCACTGAGAGAGAAACACATCCATCTACCCCAGGGGTCCCCAACCTTACCAGCTTGGTGGCCTGGCATGGCACAGGGGCGTGTGGGGTGTGCGAGTGGCCGGTGCGCACACCCAGCTCCCTTTGTGCTTGTGCGAATGGAGCTTTGCACGCGGTTGGAGAGTGCTTGAGAGCCGAGAGCACTTGTGCACAAGGCTCCATTCGTGCAAATGGAGCTTTGCACACGAGGGGAGCTTGCCCACCCCACAGGCACGGCTGGCCAAGAGCTCCTACAGAGAGACGGACCGTCGATATAACCCAAGGAAAGGCGGACTCCTACCTCAGTTCTGTCTTGATCTCTTCGTAGTCCGATTGAGCATGAAGTTTTTCTTCCAACTTCTAAAGGACACACAAGCACAAAGAGAGAGACACAAAGACAGAGAAACATTTAAAAATCCCGATTCAAAGGCAAAAGTTTGCGGCCTGAAACAAATCTCAAAGACGAAAAGAAAGGCACGTCTTTCTTCCACCTTTTGCTTAGCCCAGCTCAAAAATTATTAAAATGTTGCGTGTGTTATAGACCAGGGGTCTCCAACCTTGGCAACTTTAAAACTGGTGGACTTCAACTTCAGCAAAGCTGGCTGAGGAACTCTGGGAGTTGAAGCCCACCAGTCTTAAAGTCGCCAAGGTTGGAGACCCCTGTTATAGACAGTGACAACTATTCACAACACCCTGCATTCACCTTTCACTAAAGTGATGGGACAAAGTAGGTAATGGGTGCTTTGGCCAAGATTAAAACAGATGGGAAACCCTTCCATCCCATTTTAATCCTTGGAAAATTTATCCGACTCCCTTCACTTTTAACCTTAGGGAGGTGGAAGAGGAAGGATTCAATTTAATTCCACCCCCACCCCCGATTCTTGGGGAAATGCCACGGAAACGATACCCACTTCGATGGCCTCGCTTTTGGCTGCCAACTGCCGTTCCAGGTCTGCAATTTGATTGGCTGAAGAATCTTCTATTTCTTGCATGGAGTTTTGCAGGTGTTGAATTTCCTTGAGAAGTCGAAGAATTTCCCGATCCTTGGCGGCCAAGGCGGCCTCTAGCCGTGGACCCGGGCACAAAGAATAATTCACTTTGTCCTGCAGAAAGAAGGCATCTCAAAGGAAGGATCTACTCATTCTGAGGATTTCTCTGGCTGGAAAGAACAAGGACTACATCCTGGTTTGTTTTCCCTCTTGGGTCAATTCCAGGCAGACTGTTTCATGCATCATTGTGAAAGACACATGTCTGCACACCAAAACAAATCAGCTTGAGGTCTTCGCTTCTGGCTAAACCCTCACTAGAATCATCCCTATCTTCACAGGATGCTTTCTCAGCAAGCAGGAGAGCAAACTGGAGACTTCATATCAGCTGCTCCTCTTCTAAAAGTGAAGGTAGACACAGGACGCTAGCAGCAAATGGGCCAGACCCCCTAGCTTAAGACTTGGAAGCCAACACCCAAACTAAATTGTTCCTCAGCATTAGATTAGCCTGGTCTGCAACCCAGACTTCGCAGAATGAGGAGGAGTCTGGAAATGGAAGATTTGTGCTTCTGGAAATTCCCCTGGGAGCCCGCTTTCCCCATTTGACTGACGATGAGGATCCCCTTCTGGTCCTCACCCCACTTGGTCCTTGGGGAGAACAGCAAGCCAAGCGAAGGGAGCTGTTTACAGTGGCAAGCTGTTCCCGCAGGCTCTCCACCTCCCTCTGGGCAGCCTCAGCTCTCTGGAAAAGAGGAGAATCAGAACCATCAGAACTTCGGAGGGGAACCAACCCTCCATTTCCTGAGACCTTCAAGTCATTTTCATTGACAAGCCAAAAGGCCTTCAGCCCACGGCCGCCTATCGCTCACCTGGTTGGCTTTTTCGAGATTTGTCATGATCATGGCCACTTCATCTGTCCTAGGGCAAGAAGACAAGAGTTACGGTTGACCTCCAGAGCATCTACAAGGGCAACTAGGAGTAGATGCCCCCGTTAAGGGGCAAAGAAGCATGAACCAAGCCAAAGCGGCCCTCAGATTGTCATGGGAAAAGCAAACATCCAGAGATTTTGACCTGCCCTAGTTTAAGTCTCCAACGAATCTGGCTACTCGGTGACTTAAGTGTTAGATAGTGGGGTGGTGGGAAGTGCATGAACCTCAAAAGGGTCTTTTTCTCCTTTCACCTTGAAAAGGGATGGAAAGCAGCAGCGAAATGCCTGTCCACCCCACTTCTCTTTCCATGCCTCCGGTTTTGATCAAAGGCAATGATATTTCACACCAGGTGCCAGGAGGGTGCACACGAGAGGATCAAAGCCCATCTGGTTCATTATGATACGATTAAGAGTTCTTAGCACCGTCACATATGAGAGAAGAGAACAGTGGGGAATTGTAGTCATGACAGAGCATCAGTGAGGATGCTGGAAATATTTGGAAGCAGGGAGGAAAGAAACCAAGCACATACGCAACATTTCTTCTACAATTTCTTAAGCCTCTCTTCATTTGTGAAGCCCTTTTCAAATGTTCATCTAAATGTTCTCCTATTTTGACACCAGGCAACCCTCACAACCTGATTGGGAGACATAAGCTATAAGGACAAGCCAACTCTAACTGGACAGAACAAACGGACAAACCAACTTACTTGGAAGCTGCCTGTTCGTCATATTTACATCGCAACTCAACCAGTTCCGTCTGGGTAGCCTTTAGTGCTGGCCAGCAATGGGGAGAACACAAAAACAGAGCGTAAGACATGTACGTCCAGTGGATTGTACTTAAAGAATGCTACTCGGGGCTAGTAAATATTCCGCCATCAACTGGATAATAGGATAATTAGGGGGGGAAAGGAGATATTCGTACACTTGTTGGCTCCACCGGTTGACCTCTTTCTCAACCCAGAGACTTAAAATTGAGCAGAAGTTCTGCCAATGATCCTGGCATTTGCCATGTAGCATCCTGGTTTGCGTTGCTCCCTTTTAAGATGGTGGTTTGAGAGAGATTGTGACACTTATTCAAGTCAGTTTGAATAATTAATTCTCTTTCAGGCTGACTCAACCTGGCTGAGCCAAATGCTAATTTCAGGTAAGGGCTGGATGTCATTAAAAAGGGAAAGGTTGGAGAGACTGAGGGAAAAAGAGAGTTTGGCGATGATCGCTCCAATGTCTGAGAGAAAACAGCAGACATCAGAGAAGGGAAGAAAATTGGACTCAGCTCTTAAAAGCAGCTTTTTCTTAAGAGCTAAATGGAGCAAACAGAAGGTGCCATGCTGAGCTTCACAAATGCCTGAGCCCACCAAGAATTAGCATGGCCCAGGAGGAAGCCACGGGAAATGCTCCTGCCATCTTCAACTGGGTCTCCATCGATCTTTAAAAGTACCTGAATGCAGGACTTTGATCTTCTCTTCTGCTTCGCCCAGCCGGCTGGCCAACGTGAACTGCGCTTCTTGAAGGCCCCTAAGACAAGGGATGTATCTCCTTGAGTTGACATGGCCCCCACATCAAAGCCCAGAAGAAAGCAACCTTCTGCAGCCTGAGGTCCATCCCCTTGGAGTCAACCTCTCCATTGGCTTCAATTATTTGACGGAGGAAGCCGTCGCTGGTTTTGCAGAACATCTAGAGAACATCTTCGATTTGAAGGAATTAAAAGGAGAGGGGCTGTCCAAAGTGCCCAACGTTGACCGATTTTGATTCATGGGTTTTATTATTTATTAGTATATGATCAGGTCTCCATTGAGTCTCATGAATTTGTAGAGGAATGGTTTTCCAAGATCTTTGGAGCTCACTGAGGAAGAACGGGGGCTTTTTACATACAATTGGTCTTTCCTTCTAAATCCTCAGGCACCATAAATGTTGATGCAAGGAAGACCATGGAGCTGAAAAGCAACCTTTCTAGATCTTGGCGGAAGAAGGGGAAGGCGGAGCCTAAAATTTCAGGGAAGGCTGGACTTAACCACCTCCTGTCCTTATATTTTGTGATATGTTTTCCTTTGAGGGGAGCAGCTCTCCCGTCCACCTTCCCATCCTCACCTCCCATACTCACGTACTTTTGCTTCTCAACCTCATTCCTCTGCAACAACGCGTCGGTCAGCAAGGCTTTGCTGTTCAGCCCAGCAAGCTTGGCCTCCGAAGCTGCCAGTCCACCGGTGAGGGTTCCATCTTTTTGCTCTGTGGGGGGAAGGGAAATCTACGTCAGCAACGGGATCGGTCTCAGCTAGATGTCCTTGCTGTCTGCCTCCTTTAGATCATTTCAGCTGTGGGGACCAACCACCGTGGATCCATGAGGCTGACCGAATGCAAAAACTCCTCTGTGCACTTCCAAGAGCAGCCTTGAAGCCCTAATGGACCCTGACTTGGCTCTGGTGGGTTTTTTCCTCGGAACCTTTCCCTGTGCTGAGGCAACAGGGAAGTTACTACTCCTTTACTTTAGGCTGCCAGTGGAAGAAGCAGGATCACTTTGGGTACCTTTGGGGAACAGCAGCTCCTTCTTCCAGGGCCTGTTCAGCTCCTTCAGTGGGGGTTTCTCGGGGCCAAGGCAGTGGAGGGGCTGGTGCCGCCCTTCGAGGGTGGGCAGAGGGTCCGCTGGAGGGGAGAGGAGAAAGGCAGAGGTGACCTTGGAGGCCCTTCACCTCCCATGGGCCTTCCCAAGAAGATAGGCAAGCAGGCAGGCAGGCAGGCAGAGAGAAAGAAAGAAAGATAGGTAGGTAGGTAGGTAGATGATAGATAGATAGATAGATAGATAGATAGATAGATAGATAGATGATAGGCAAGCAGGCAGGCAGGCAGAGAGAAAGAAAGAAAGATAGGTAGGTAGGTAGGTAGGTAGATTAGGTAGGTAGGTAGGTAGATGATAGATAGATAGATAGATAGATAGATAGATAGATAGATAGATAGATAGATAGATAGATAGATAGATAGATAGACAGACAGACAGACAGACAAGCAGGCAGGCAGGCAGGCAGGCAGGCAGAGAGAAAGAAAGAAAGAAAGATAGGTAGTTAGGTAGATGATAGATAGATAGATAGATAGATAGATAGATATAGATGATAGATAGATAGATAGATAGATAGATAGATAGATAAGAGAGGGCAGATGATGAGAAAGAGAGAGAAAATAGATGATTTGATATGATTGATGAAAGAAAGAGAGAGGGAAGGAGGGATGGAGAGAGGGAGAGAGAGAAGCCCTCCAAAAGGATTTTAAGCTCCCTCCATAGAAAACGTACATGCATTATTCTGTCTCTCTGGTCCTATTAAGGAGGACACTATTTTCTCAAAACATTTTGCCACCCCCAAAATAGAAACCCAATGCTGGGATGTTCCTCACGTTGAACCAGAGTCATAGGCTGGGTTTTCTCTCTTGCAATCGGCTGGGCTCAGCCTAGAACAGTGGTGGGGAAATCTCCCACGGGGGTCAGAGTTGGTAAGCCAGGTCAGAAACTCAACCTTTGAGGGAGGCATGGCTTCTCCAGCCCCCCACCCCACCCCAACCCCCCGACCCTGATCTGAAAAGAAACAGGGAGGAAAGAAGCGAGAAACCAGCCCCATTTCCCCCCCCACACACATTTATTAAAAATGATCCAGGCTTGTAAATTAATTTGTTTGTGTCGTACACTGGCAGTGCAGATGGACTCATTAGCATGCACACAACAAATAATTAAGGATGCATTTTTTAGCTGGCCTTCCTAATGGGGTTTGCTGGGTTAATGATGTCAGTGCATAATTACCTTGGCCTGGGAGGCGTTAGGGAGCCCCCCAACCCTGCTCCACTACAGGCAGGGCTGGCTAATAATGGTGGGTTGCCCCAGGAGAGGAAGGGTCCTCCTTTGGAGCACACCTGCTTACCACGGCAGAAAATGCCACCCTGCTCTCTGCCCACCACTGCCTAAGCAAACAGTGCCATGGGATGGAAACCGTGGCATTGAGGGGCCCTGCCAGAGCAGACGCTGCAGAGAACTGGCCCAAAAGGAGTTTCTCTCTTAGCCACGAACCAGAGTCAGCCCCTCATTCCCTCCCTCCAGCCTTAAGCGGGGCAGCAAATGCGAAGGGCGCCTTGTGTAAAAAAAACAAAAAACCAAACCAAAAAAAATTGAAAAAAAGATGTCATCTTCCTCACAGCTACAGATTTAATCATATGCACCACAGATTTAGCAGAGTAATCAATCAAATCTGTTTTAAATCAATGCAGAGTCCTTAATGAGATGAGAGCTTTTTGCTCAAACGGGGGGAAACGAAAACCAGCCAGATCTGCAAATATACAGCAAAACCATTTTGGCCTCGGATTTCTGGATGGGCAGCCACCACGGACCTCTGCAGCACAAAGAGGCAGGATTGTTCTACCCTTCAAGGTCTTCACCAGGGGTGTCCAACCTTGGGCCCTTTAAGACTGGTGGACTTCAACTCCCAGAGTTCCCCCGGCTGGAGAATTCTGGGAGTTGAAGTCCAAGGTTGGACATCTCTGATCTAAACGCTCCCAAGCTCTCATCAATGTTCCAGCTTTTGTCTGAGCCTGGTCGGATGCTGTTCAAATGGTGAGCCACCAGGAGATGGTTTGGGGGGGTGGTCTTCTTTGCCAGGGGGGTCAAAGATGTACCAAGGGGTGGAGACCATAAATCCAGAGCCAATAAAAGGGCAGTTGTGGTCTCTTGCCAAGGACCCACGCGTTCACTTATATCAGCCGCAGCGGTGGGTCACCGGTGGGGGGACATGGAACAGAAAAGAAAGGCTGGCTAACTTTACAGCTGTCAATAACTTTTCAGAGCTAAGATAACGATATGGACTATTAAGCCACGTGCTTCCAGGTGCCAGGTGATGAGCAGGATTTCCAACCACCAGGTCTGCCGGAGACGGAAGGAGCAGCTTTGGCTTGAGGGCAGAGCAAAGGGGCTTGGAGGCCCAGCAGCCATAGCAAAGCCAAAGGTGAGAACGGGAAGGTGAGTCTTTCCAGGTGAGACCAATGGCACCTAACTGGCAACTGGCTTCTCCCAGAAACCCCAGAATATCCAGTTCCAGAATTACAGCAGACTGAGAGATCCGGACTCGAATTCCTGCGCAATCCAGAAAAATCTACCTGGAGACTTTAGGCCAGTTGCTGTTTTCTAACACCTCCACCGTTTATTAGGAGGCTGGCAAAATCTTGGAAGGAGGGGAAGTGAGAGTAGTTCTTTTTATTTCTCTTGAATGTAGCTGCAACAGGTTCCTGATTCGGTCTTCCGAGAGACAAGCTGGACTCCAGTGAGTCCGGCAGCTCCTTCTTAAAATGCCCTCTTTGCTTTCCACCTCTGCTTGCAGCCAACCGCAGCCTGAAGCTGCTTCCCATTAAGAAATGCCCGTGCACCGTCAATGGCTGTGGTTAAGGGCAGCTCTAACCACAGCATGCCCTGAGCAACTGTGTCCTCCCAAACACAGCCAGGACAGAAACCTAAAGCGTGGGTCACTTTCTGCACCCAGGAGGCAGATCTTCCCACAGGCAACCAGGACACAAACAGATCGAGAGTCCAGGGATCCCGTCTGTCCGCCCAGGCCCTCCTTGCCCTCATGAAGCCATCCTCACCAGGGGAAATGGCTATTGTGTGGACAGGCAAGAGTCCATCCTTAGAAGGTCTCGGCTGTCTTCACTGTGGATGGTTTGGAAGAACCTGCTGGTTCAGATCCAAAGTTGCATCTTCAGTCTGCAACTTTGGAGACTCCTAGAAGCAGGATTGGAGCTACGCACCCTGTGATCAACCCCCAACGCTGGGCCCTTGGGGGAATCCAGCTTCTTCCTTAAACATTTCACTTAGCAGGTAAACAGAGCTCATTTTATCAAGTCAAAACACAGGAGCAACCTAAGGGGTTTAATCCAGCCATACTTAGACATTAGCAACTGTTCCCAAATTTCTAATTTGAAATCCCCCGGAAAGCTCCATTCCAGCTGCAAAATACAGTATTTCTGTTTCCCTCCTATGCACTCCTATGGTCCTTACTTAGCAAACTATGTTCTTCTCCCCCTGTTGTGTTCCCGTCGTCGAGAGGGAGCGGCGCATGCAAAAGACAATGAAGAAATCAGTTGTCACTGCCATGCGAGTTAAAACGAGACTCAAATCAATCCGTTCTCAACAATGACTTTAATTATGCTTTTAACATGATTTCACTGCTTCCTCTCCACCCTCCCTCTCCTCTCCGTGTCCGACAGAGACGCACGCCTAGCCCGCTTCCCCACGCCACATCTGGGTGAACAATATCAGAAAAAATTACGATATCTTTCCCCCCTTCCTGTAATTACAGACGCGCCATCCCAGACTCCTTGTATCAAAACACTTGCTGAGCCACACACTTTTTCTCGGGTGAGGTTTGCACAGACAGAAGCCATTCATGCTTCGAAAGGAAGGGAGGAAGAGGAAAGGCAGGAGGAGGAGGAAAGAAGGACGCGTGTTGGACTCCAATAAGCCCAACTGGAATTAAAATATCTATCCGATCCTGGGATGGGTAGGTATTCTTGCTGATTAAGCAGAGGCCCTCAGCAGGACAGTGGCTGCAGCTCTGTTGTGGTCTTCAGACCCTGGTAAGCCAGGACCCCCTTGGCTTTCTACCCTTCCGTTCCCAAGAGGGTCTTGGGTAACAAGGCTGCTTCCAGGCCACAAGGGCCAGAGGGAGCTCCCGATCAGGGGTCCAACATGTTTGGGATCCCCTTCCTTCTCTCCCTGAAGTTCCTGACTAGATCAAGAGGTGCTTCCGAAGAGGGCAGTGCACACCTTTCCCCTCCGAGCCTGCCTGGAGAAGGAGAGCCATCGGCGTCCATACCTGGGGCTTTGAGTAATTGCTTGTAAACGCTCAGGAACGCGGCCTCAGCTTCCTTGGTCCTTTTGCTGAGCGCAACCACCTGAGGGAAACATGAAAGCAAGAGCCCAGTTGAGAACCCAGGGAGAGGAAGGGCACCCCCGGAATAAGAGCTGCCTCCTCCGCTTTGGAGCACCAGGAAGGAAAAGTTCCGTAACATTAGGAAACACCCAGCCATGGTTGCAAACTGCAAATATTACCCTAGAAACCCAATCTCAACCTCAACAAAGCTCTTGTAGATAGATCCCAACTCAGTAACTTGATCAACTGCTGGTGAAGTAACCTCTGGTGGAGGAAAACTAATGTGGGAAGGGAAGGGAAGGGAAGGGAAGGGAAGGGAAGGAAGGAAGGAAGGAAAAAGGAGGAAGAAGGGAGGGAAGGGAAGAAGGAAGGAAGGAAGGAAGGAAGGAAGGAAGGAAGGAAGGAAGGAAGGAAGGAAGGAAAAGGGATAGAGGGAGGGAAGGAAGGAAAGAAGGAAAAGGGAGGAAGAAGGGAGGGAAGGAAGGAAGATAAGGAAGGAAGGAAGGAAGGAAGGAAGGAAGGAAGGAAGGAAGGAAGGAAAGGGAGGAGGGAAGGAGGGAGGGAAGGAGGAAAAGGGAGAGAGGGGGGAGGGAGGAAGGGAGGAAAGGAAGGGAGGAAGGATGGGTTCTCCCACCCCCAACCCCCTTAATCTTAAAAGGACCAAATAAAAAAGAGAGAGAGAGAGAGATTGCAAATCTTTCACCCAAGACTGAATTTAAATGGCTTGTCATTCAGAAGGGAAGCAGCAGGCATTTACAATTCTCCAGTCACCGGAGCGAACTGCCTTCGCTGCTTCCCTCCCCTTCCCGGTGGGGATTGCCTTACCTTGAGCATTCAAGCATGTTTCTTGCCTTCTCTACACTTTCAAATGGAGCTGAAATGTTACCAACCGATCCGTGGTCGGTTTCCACAAACCCAGAATCGGCTGAAGGCAGAAGCTTCTATCCTGGTTCAGTTACAGTTATAAAATAGAGGAAGCAAGTGCTCCACTACATCCCTTTTTTTGGGGAACCCCAGAAATTGTGGCCCCCAAATGGGGAGGGCAAACGAGGAGGAGGGATAACTTGGTAGCTGGAGAAATGGGAGAAATGGTTGGATCAGAGGAGGGAAAGGATCCAGCCGTTGTGTTGATGCCAGGAGGCCCCACACTTCCCTGTTGTGGCTCCTGGACTCTCACTTTGGAAGGTGCCCCTCAACCGCCCTGAGATTCCTCATACCTGTCCTGGAAACAGGGCTAAGTCCAAGAAGGAGAGGACTTCTCCTCATTGGCCCTTCTAAGGGGCTTAGATTCAGGGGTCGCCAACCTTGGCAACTGTACGACTTGTGGACTTCAACCCCCAGAATTCCTCAGCTGGCCATGCTGGGAGTTGAAGTCCACAAGTCGTAGAGTTGCCAAAGTCGGAGAGTCCCGGCTCCGATGCCGGAAGGACGGCTTGTGGGGGACCAAGTCAACCCAAGAGACCTCAAGGCTCCATCCGGGGAGTCTGGCTGAGCGGTCCAGGTGTTTCGTCCCCAAAAGGGAAAGGAGACCTTGCAGAGGGAAACCAGGGAAACTAAGGAACCGACAAGGCTCTGACACTTGCTCTGGCTTGGCTCCCCAAACGAAGCGACACTTCTCCGACACACGCGGAGCGTTTGCTCAAGCCGGTTCTGGGAAATGCAGCCCAATGACCCAAGAAGACGGCGGGTGCGGCTCTGGGAGGCTGGTCAAGCTGACAGGATCAGCAAGTGGGGTGGAAGTAGCCCTCTCCCCAAATATTCCGTCCTTGCTCCCTGGAATCTGAACCCCCTCCCGCCCTCCTCTGACTTTTAAACCTCGAAGACATCTCATTAACTTTTCCCTTCTCTCCCTGTTTCTCTCTTTCTGCCTTCCACGCACCCAACTCAAGGTGAGAGAAAACACAACTGCACACTCCGCAACGACACAAGATTGATGAATTACATTTCTGCTCCGGGTCTTTTCCATGGCTGGTGATTTTCCAGCAAAGCAATTATCACCACAGAATACATAATGGCCTAATTAATTACTACTGTCAGACCGGCCTCTATGCTATATGATTATACCTTATCAAGGCATGCATATCTCTCTCTCTCTCTCTCTCTCTCTTTCTCTCTCTTCTGAGAAGCAAAAAATATTATTGCAACGGACAGCTTTTTTTTAAAGTTGCCTTTTGCCTCTCTTTCCTCCTGCCTTCTATCTTTCTGTTGATATTTTGTCTGGGTTTATATGCAAACAGCACAAAAATACCTTTCAGTGTAATTATTCCCATTCAAGCTATAAAAGCAAAGAAGAGCTTAACCAGAAATGGAGCAATGGCTGACTTAAAGGAGAAGAAGAGGAGAGGAAAAAAGAGTTTTAATAATTTACACAGCCAAGACGATGCTACTCCTGAATGAAAGGAAGTTGCTGCTGGCCATCCATTATTGTCATCATACTTCCTGACAGACATAATGATGCTGTGGCAAAGCTTTTCTTTCTATCCTCCCCAAGGATGTTAGAACTTTTTCAACAAAGCCCATCTCTCTCGTGCCACAGGGCACCCACTTCCTGTCTCTTCCCCTGGTTCAAGGAGGACCAGCCAAGGTGTCCCCTCAGTCGTAGAGTGCATGCCGTCTGCTCCAAGCCCTCCTTCGAATGCTCTCGGCCCCTCACAATCAATCCCAGCCCCCCCCAACAAATCTTTCTATCAAACGGGACCCTTGGGAGCTGCTGGGGAGGACAGGTTTCAAACTCAGACACTGCCCAGCCCTTGAAGCATTTTCTCGCCCGAGGAGGACTCCAGGGTGATGCCGTAGGACCGCAGCCCGTGATTCTATCTAGGGAAGAGAACGATGGGGACAAATGGGGCGCCCCTGAGATCACCCTTCCGTAAACCCTGACAGGTAGAGGAGGCTCCATTTTTATTTTTTAAAAAATGATGGGAAATGCAGAGGAATGAAAGAGCCGATGACTTCAAAACAACAGCCGTTAGTCCAGATTGCGTTGACTTTCTCACACTTCCCTTTTTGTTTAAAAAAAAAATAAGCCAACTAGCTCTCGAAGATGGGCTGATGTTCTGAAACTGGGCACCCCATTCCTCTAGGAACTGTGGCCGGTCTCCCCATATTTCTTTACAAGGGTCCTCTCCTCTGGGGTCTTTCCCCCCCCCCCCCAAGTTAGCACTTTTGCATTGTTTTAATAATGGCTTTTTAGCATATGGCTGGTGTTGTTTTACGTTTGTAATTACTGCTTTATGTAAATTATGCTTTTAATGGTTGTTTTTAATTAAGCTGTTTGTTTTGCATTCTTTTGACCATTAGACATTCGGCGGTGGAAGAGCAGGGGATAAATCTAAGAAATAAATATGCAAGGAAGCAGTTTTGGGGCTCTGAATTGAGAGAGAAAGCAGATTCTTGAAAGTCAGCTGAGGATGAAGTGGCCCAGAATCTGGATATTTGAAAGGGTCTCAGGATTTCACAGTGAGAGAGGCAGGGGGGTTTTTTTTGGGGGGGGGGGGGGGGGGAAGAGGTTATTTGCCTTCCTTAATTTATTATCTCAAAACTTATTTTTTTTCTCAGCAACTGAGAAGTTGGAGAAATTAGCTGACCCACCCACGGTCATTAGCTCCTCCACCATCAGGTCAATGGTTCATCTACATTTTCATATAAGAAAACTATTAATTTAGATATTTTCATCCCTCCAAGAAAAGGAGGAGGAGGAGGAGGAGGGAGGAAGAGAGAGAGAGAAAAAGAAGTTTCAAATAATGACTGTAATAAATGAAGGTAATTAATTGTAGTTTGTTCCTTAACTGTCTAGTCAGCTTAATTTTACCTTTTCATCTAATAATGAGAAAATAATTTTTGTGCTCTGAGGGTTAATGATATGTAACTGCAAGAGCTGCTAATTGCATGTTGCAAACTATTCATCAGAAATCCCCATCTGTGCTACTTGATTATGTTTGCTAAATTATTGCTTTGAATTATCTTTCATAAAGCAACTTTTGTAATTAGCAGGGCCCTCGCTCTGGCTCTTTTTGCCGTCTGAAAAGAAGAGAGAGAGAGGGGGGAAAAAGCAAACCAAGAAAAAAAAAACTTTTCAATCTGTCGTCCTTCCGTTTCCATCACCGGCAGCCTTTTGTCTTCCCTGGGATGGAAAAATTAAACTTGGGGTCTTATTTATCGAAATCAGGGAAGGAGAGAACGGCTGCCTGCCTCTCCTGTCCATCTCCTGGGCCGAGGCTCTGCTATTCATCCGTTCATCTCACCCACCAGCACACACAAAAAAACGACAGAAACCCCCAGGTCTGCTAGCAATCCAAAGAGCCATCAGGGTGGGTTGGGGGTCCTGCCCCCTATTCTCAAGGCCAGGGGTCTGCAATGAAGGGGACGGTCACAGATAGATCCTATTTCTCCCGCAGGTGGCTTACAAAAGGGCCGGGGAAAATCTCTTTTTTCTCCTACCTTCTGTTGCGTCACCACTTGGATCCCATTTCTACATTCTAAGCCATTATATTCATTGCCTTTGCTCTACCTGGAGACCCCAAAGATGAGATCTCCTGGGATACAGGTAAACCCCCAAGTGGCCTCAACAGCTCTGGGAACTAACAGCTAATGACCAGGTGACTGCAAAGACTATAAATCTTTCCATTCCCTACCAGTTAGTCAGAACTGAAGAAGCTTCTTGGTCGAGAAGTGAAGTATTTTCAAAGGGGAAAACAAAAAAGTCCAATTTCCACCTTGTGGAAAAAGCACCTTGGGACAACCATGACCTGGATGATGGAGAACCTCCATAAACATTTACTTGGAGATGTAGGGAGGACCCGGGAAGATCTAATGCCGTTCATTGATAGGGCACACAGTCCAAGGAAGAAGAGATTGGCCCCTACAAACTCTAACTAAAGGAGCCAATTCCAGAGACCGACCCACCTTCTAGCACCAAAGATGCTAGTTGGGGAGTAAACATCTACAAGAAAACAGTCCCAGGAAAAGCTCAGATTGCTCCCAGTCACTAACCAGGATGAAGAGAGTCAGGACGGCCCCACAAAATCATGGACGACTTCTCTTTCTTCAAGAAAACTATTCTTGGCTCTTGTGGGCTATCTAAATCCATTTTTTCTTCTTCTTCTTCTTCTCCCAGAAGAACTACAGACTAAGCTGAACGCCAAATGTAGCTCATTCTTCCTAAAAATGAAGCCGATTCATCCGTAGTTCAGCTGAGCCCTCTCTGATTTGCATTATTTCCATACAGGAAAAGTGTTTTTCACTGGCTGGGTAGCTTCAAACTCTCAGACCTATCTCCTCCTCTGAAGACATTCAGGGTGTAATTTCACAATGTAGATTCTGCTGATTATATAAAGTGGCCTTAAGGCTTAATTAGATGAAATACAGGGGGGGGGGACACCACCACCCCCATAGCTACATCCTGTATATTTAATCTGCTTGAAATCCATATTACAGTCCTTCAGAAACTGGATGCTTGAAATAATGAAGAAATACAGGGGAAGTTGCAAGACCACAACACAAACGTCCTTCAATATACTCAGGGACACATTATCCCGCCTTTCCATTCTCTCCATCACTTGGGGAGGAAGGTCAGGGTGGAGAGGAAGAGAGGCCCACAGCCCCAAATATCTGCAAATACCACAACTTTTTTTCCCCCAAGTGTATAACAGACACACACGCTTTGCATTTTGAACCAGAGCTTCCGTTTTTCATTACATTCGCACCCTCTCTCAATTCGGAGTCCCCAGTTTGGTTCACAAATTTTTCTACCCCTGGTTAGAAAAACAAAAACAAAGGTACCTTGCTACTGGTCTCTTCTTACCTCTGCCTGGAAACTTTTTAAGACGGGAGCCACCATATCTCGAACCTCCTGAAGGAAAGGGAGAGCGAAAAAGGAAAGGATGAAAATTCTCTTGTTTGGACCTCGAAGGCATGGAGGTTCAAGGGAACGGAGTTCAAAATTTGGCTCCTAACTCAAATTCCCAACTTAAACGTTAAGTGTACAATATTTGTGGACATATTCAAGCATTAATTAGGAGGGGGGAGGAGGAAGGAGGAGGGGAAGAAGAAGGGGAAGAAGGAGGGGAAGAAGGAGAAGAAGAAGGAGAAGGAGGAGGAGGAGGAGGAGGAGGAGGAGGAGGAGGAGGAGGAGAAGAAGAAGGGGAAGAAGAAGGGGAAGAAGGAGAAGGAGAAGAAGGAGGAGGAGGAGGAGAAGAAGGAGGAG